GGCCTTCCAGTACTTAAAGGGGGCCTACAGGATAGGTGGGGAGGGACTCTTGATCAGGGACGGTAGGGATAGGATGAGGGGTAATGGTTTCAAACTGAAAGAGGGGAGATTTAGATTAGATCTTAGGAAGAAATTATTTCCTGTGAGAGTGGTGAGACACTGGAAGAGGTTGCCCAGAGGATCTGTGGCTGCCTCCTCCCTGGCAGTGTTCAAGATCAGACTGGATGGGGCTTGGAGCAACCTGGTCTGGTGGAAGGTGTCCCTGCCCATGGCAGGGGGTTTGGAACTGGATGGTCTTTAAGGTCCCTCCCAACCCAAACCATTCTATGAACCTGTGATTGTATGATTTGATGAAGGGGATGGAGGGAGCTTGAGGTACAAGGGTTAGGGTAAGACTTCAGTTGAAACAGAAGTTTTATCACAGTTCATATAGGGTAAGATGTCATGCAGAATTTGAAAATACTTCATATGCTACTAAAGTGGGTTTCTGACATTGCCAACTGAAAAAAATTAAAGTGGAAAAGCTTCCTGTTTGAGGAGCTGGAAATGCAAATGCAATTTGTAGACAAGGCCTTCCACAGAAGCTCTGCAATCCAAAATTCTACTGTGCTTTTCCAACTTGCTATCACAACAGTTCTACATAAAAATGTATACTGCAGTTGGAAGGCTGTAGTGAAGGACAGCTCATATCTGAAATAATGCTATCAGTACAGTCTTGGTCCTTTACTATATTGTTCTGATTGTATATAAGGTCTGGAAGGTATCTAGAGTTCAATAGTTTGCTGAACACAGTCTACCTGCAGTTGCTAATTTAGGCTAAAGCTGTACTGAGATCCAGGAATTTTCAGCTTTGGCTACACCAGATATAGGGAAAAGTCTTAAGTCTGCAGTATACACCAGACTGAGTATTAGCACAAGTGCAGTGGAAAAGTAGGAACTCCAGATCCACGGGTAGAAGCAGGTTTTTGTGTGCGTTGTGTTCTCTAGCAGGTCTTTTGTAGATGCACTGAGACTAAAGGAGCAAGCAGCAGCTCTGTCCCAGATGCAAATTAGAGATAACCAGCTTCACTAGTAAATTTTTTTTAACTTTGACAGATACTCCAGAGAGGATAGGTAAACACTGCCTCCTCCTTAATTAGTTAATTAAAGGAAACGAAGGGGAACTCATAACTTCAGGTTGTCTTTTAACTGGATGTTACATCCAAGGGTAGTAAGGACAGTGTAGCACAGTGACTTGCATTTGCTACTGTGAGCAGTAGAGCTACATCAATCTAGCAACCTGTGATATACTGAAATTTATTTTTAAAGTTTCTAAGGGACTAAAATTGGATGGTGTGGGAGTAAGTGTCAAATCATAAGGAGATTCCCTCCTCTTCTTCCATCTGAAACTTACATAGGCTGGCAAAAAAACCCCAAGCATAGCTGCTTTTTATTGAAATCAAAATGCATACATTGAAGTAAGCAGCACATCAGAGTTTCTCATTGTAATGTGGAAGCTACCGTTTTCTAACCATGACTTTTTTTTAAGGAGGTGCACCTCTAAATTCAGTCTACTGCCTCCATACAGACATTTCTGAAGATGAAAGTAAAGTGGTCAGCCTTTTGGCAAGCTCCCTTTAAAATGTAAGGAAAGCTGCTTGCAGTGATAGGTGCTACCAATACTGTTTACTTACAGTAATGGCAAAGCTTTACAAATTCTACAATCACCATCTTTTCTAGTCTCAAATGTGTCTCAATATTGATAATGCTAAAACTAGACATGCAAATGTAGTTCAAGGTACGTGAGCACCACAGCTCCGTAGTTGTTTACAGTCACTAAAAAAGGAGACTGGAACCTGCGTTAGTAGGACACAGCTACTTCAGACATTCCCTAGACAGAGTTGTTTGTTCCTCAGGTTTTGTTGACTCTTCTTAATCTCAATCTGGTGAGCATAAAAAAGGGGTAGGAGAGTTCACTGAAAAATCGCAATGTCTGCATTACCTAGACTGTTAAGAAGTGTGGCCTGTGGAGGTCTAACTCCAGTTATCTAGTGAATAAATAAATAGAAGAGCTTGTCAGAGACATGAATTAGGAGTATGAACTCATGAAAACCAGTCCAATTGCTACAGTAAAACTTGCTACAGGTGATATGACAAAATTAATAATCTGACCACTGGAAATCCTGGCACCGGCATAAAGGAGCAGTTGTTTTTTCAAAGACAGTACAAAAGACACATTCACTAGTCAAGATCATTGAGCTACAGGCTTACCAGATTACACACTCTGTTCAGTATTTGCTGTCTTTTTTACTAATGAAGTCTTATACTACTGCACAGAGGCCTTACCAAAGTTGTTACACATCACGGAAACTCCATTTCTCATGCCTGCAAGATAGCTGCTCTGAGTGCAGAAATACAGACATAGTAATAAGGCCAATCATCCAAGCAAGTGCTAAGGGTAATTTAAGCCCAGCAAAATCAACTAACATCCATGCAAGCAAAGCTAAAAGAAGGTGACTGACTTGCAAGTGATCAGCCTCTATCTGTGCCAGTTCTGGCCTGAAATGGCTTTCTGCAGAACGGTGGTCACAGTTCCCCACAGCTTTGGACTGGCCCAAACTAATCACACATTCAAGAAATGTGCTTTCATGTCCTTATTGTTGCTTTTTCATGTCCTTATTGTTGCATTTTTTTCATGAGTAAATCAATCGATGCACTTTGTAATTAAGCTGTATTCTGAAATGTGTTTCCTTCACCAGTCAGTATTTGGAAACATAAATATTTTCTGAATAAGACACAAGAGTACCTGATTTTGTTAAAGTCAGTTAGTATATTATAAAAATTAGGTATATTTAGTATAAAAATATACAGCATTAAAGTGAGAACCACAGGCAACAAAATTTTATCATAATGTAAGTTAAGGACAACATTAGACTTTAATTATTGATCGGTCTGGTAGACTACTTAGAGAACTCCTTGATGGCTGAATCTCATGTAATCACATCTGAGCTATAACAGACAAGCAGAAGTTAGACCTATTTTCACCTGGGAGTGGTGCCATCTTTCTGGCTCACATCTGGCAACTTGGTTTGGAGGAAAGCATATATATGTGGCCAGATCTTATTGGTTTCTGTTCCAGAGAAGGATTTCAATAAACCTTTTTCCCTGAGGAAGAAAAAGAAGAAAGCATTACAGAAATCAAATTGTTTAATTGTGTCAAGATCTCCAGTTCAAGATTGCCCTGGCATGAGTGTGTGTATATATATGTGATTTAACACCAAGAACAGCCATAACATTGGGAATGCAGGCTGGACATGCATTACTCTGTTCCTCAAACAGTGAGCTATTCACCACATGAGTTCATAAAACTGACAGTTGTCCACAGAGCACTTAATAACAACTATGAAGGGTAAAGAGAAGAGGCAATACAGTCATACAGCAGTCATCCAAACAACTGACTAACCAAGGTATTGTCAAGTTACACCTCAAAGATCGAAGAAGGTGCATCAGAACAAGCAAGTGAACCAGGCACAATCAAGTTATTCTGAATTTTGTTATGAATTTGTTTGAATTCTAGAATCAGTTCTAGTAGCTAGTTTTATCTGTAAACTTTAGTTATCAGTAATAATAATAGCTTAGGCCTATGTCTTACTGTGGTACTTGGAGGCATTTTCACTTCAGAAAGCTACCAAGGTCAGGAAAATCACTGTCAATCCATAAAAACTCCTTTAAAACTTAACCACCACAAAGACAGTGCTTCTAGTCTTCTGCTCAACAGTTTTGGTAGAGCATAATGAAGGGTGGTGGATATGGAGATAGAGGAAGGACAGTCACTTCAGGATGTTGTCAAAAAAAGTCTAAACTTTGTCTAAGCTTTACATTAAGAGAAACTTTGTGTATAATTTTGGCTCTTAAAAGAACTAATAATTTGTTATCATTCCACAGCGCAAATGGCAGTATTCTGAAATAGCTACTTATTCTCAAAGAGTCTTGCAAGCTGTACCCATCACAGTACTGTTCTTAGAACAGCCACTTTTAAATCCTCATTAAGAGTTTTTCTATTTGTAGAAAAAATTTGTTTTCTATTTGTATCGCTTCTTGACCCCTTGCCCTTGTTAGGAGGGCTTCTACTTACACATTCAGAAGAGAAAATACTGTTAAATCCTCCAAAAAAAAGGAACTGTCTCTGTTACCTTACTAATCACAGCCATGTTGCTCAGAACAGTACTATAATGCATTGAATAATGCACAGCACTCTGCGTAAATCTAAATACGGCTGCACTGAAAGGCTCTTTTGCTAAGCACGCTCCTGGAGAGGTTTCATGCAACAGTGGAAAACATACCCATTTTACTAGGTTGATTTCTTATTGAGCTGATGAAAGATACACTAATGTGGAAGAAGCTTTTGGAATGTGGAAGAATAGATTTTACTACTTACCGATAATATTCTAGAACAGGTTTTGTTTGTGCATCATAAGCCTGTAGCCTCTTGGTAACCGTCTCTGGCTTATCATCATCACGCTGAACAAGTGGCTCTCCAGTAATATCATCAATGCCCTAATCGTGGTTAAAAGCAAACACTGGTGCGTATTTCTTATTTCTGTTTAAGTATGTTTTCTGTGACTTCCTTATTTAAATGATCATCAGTTTCCAGTTAGTCAAGGTGTAGATTTCTCAGTATTGGCAGTGAACATCAGCTCATAGTAAGTTGACTAATTTGTCCTCTGGAACATTTGCTGAATATGGGAAGTATGTAGACAAAACCTTCATACATGAGGGAAAACAATATTGTTGGCAATATGTACTTGTATAACAGGAAACAAGCAAGAGTCCACCTGGACCTTTGACAATACTGAAATGGGGAAAGGAGTTAATGGCCCTTTGAATTTAAGCTGCAAAATGGAAGAGTTATTTAGCAATAGCTTTACAAAAAATGGCATAAAAGCCAGCTGAAGTTTTTCTAGGATTCAGTGAACAGTGATAGGGACCTAATGTGTGAGCTATGACAGCTCCTACTTTACTTCACCTCTAATTTACTGAAGTGCTTTAAGTGATGACGGAGCTTTTAAGCCTTGAAACCTGCAATGACCGAAGAAATTATTGACCACTGGCGTATCTTCTGAAGGACTAACTAGTTGCATAGAAGTTGGCTCCTTCTTAGGTTCATTGCATTACTGTGCATTTAAGGACAGAACATGACACACCACAGATACAAAGGATTCTTTGCTCCTTTGTACATATTAATTAAATCAAGAATTTTTACTTTCCCTAAAGACAAGTTTAATCTGACATTTGGAGTGGAAACATGAGTGATCTTGCATGTACAATGCCAATTGGACCACAAAAATGTTTTTCTTTCCTGCTTGTATTCTGGCAGTCAGTTTCAGAAAATCAGTAACCGTCAGCGTTCAGTAAGCTTCTCTGTTCATGAAGAAAATCTGTTCCAGAACATCTGTATCATATTAGAGATGGATTTATATGGTCAAACTTACCTTGTTTACATAATACAATCATTTAAAACACTCAAGTGTTTCTCTCTAGCATCTGCGCAGGCAGCCATACTAGTGCCTTCATTGTACCTATCAAATATCGAGCCTTCAGCTTTGCATTAACTCTAAAGCCATAATCTTTTGGGTCTATTGAGCAAGTAAACATTTTGCAGGGCTACTGGATAACAGAGACAACTGTATTTCAGCTGTTCAGCTCCACTCAGTGTTTTCACTTAAACAGTGCAATCTACTTTACTATGTTGTGATATGCCTGCTAATTAGTGGAAGGTAGAGTGGAGTGTTCCTAATAGCAAAGCTGTTGCAGCTTTGGTAGGTCTGTTAATTCTCTGTTGCAGCTCACCTATGCTCTTCTGCAATTAAAAATAACCATGACTTAAAACACCACGTTTTAAACAATACAAAGGCAGTATTTCTAGTTGCTCGCTTACAGTGCTTACCTGCCATTTCAGCTGGCCTCTTTTCCTGCAACACTGAAATCCAAAACCTACAAGGTCTGCTGTCCTTCTCATGTAATTTAATAGAGCTTCCAGGTGAAATGTGATGCCACAACAGGTAAAGTATTTAGAGTTAAGGATGAAATACAGCTTAAGCTGAGTTGCACGGAGGCTAATCCAAGTTCCTCAAAAATCTTAAGGTAACCATGTACAATCATTATCTTCAAGTTTACTATTCTTCTTTAGGATATCTCAAGTCCTCTTTGATCTGTTGAGAAGCTTCCCTGACTGGCAAGTTTCTACATCTAATTTTGCGATACTTCAACTGTTCCCTTGAAAATACCTGTCCTGGTTAAATATAAACAGAAGGAAAGCATTAAGTGGATTCCTCTGACTGATGATTCAGTGTGCTTCCTAGATACAAAGAATAAGTCCTCTGGAGGAAGGGAAAGGAAACTACTTTTCAGACTGTACAGGCTGCAAACTTGCAGAACAGTCTAAGAACACGCTCAACTCCCATGCCAGTGTGCAAAACAGAGTATTCCAGATCAGTGAACAGCTTTAACAAGAGCTTACAAAACACCATGGTGTTTCGTTCCACAGGGGACAAACACATCGTCCATCAGCCTGAGCTTCCACCCTGAGAGGCAGGGTGTTACCAGAAAGGCTCTGTGCTCCTCAGAGATGAAATAAGCCTTTTTCTTCTGAGCTACTGCGTTTTGCAACAACGTATGCAAGCAACATTTTACTGCAATTGCCAAATGCAATGCAACATTTATTTAGCACTAACACTGACATGTACTGCTTACCTGCACTTTGGGAGGACTGAATTCAAGATTGTACACTCTGCCGCTCGCAGGGTGGATCCAACGTGCTGTGAGCCGATACTTTATGGTCTCAAATGGCACATCTAGGTCAATCACAGTGTCTATTTGGCATTCCTTATCCAGGGCTTCTGCCTGAGCAACCGTTCTGGGGAAACCTTTTTAAAGGAAACAACTTCATCACGATCCAAAGGCAGAGTTATAGTGAGAATTACCTGGATTCAGTCATTAGAGAAAATAACTGTCAGACACAAAATAAAAGCATCATCATACTGTAAAGGTTGAAGATACATCAGGTTTTCCAAGTATTTTTCAGTGTGTCATGTCATTTTAACTTGTTAAATGCCTCCCAGCTTCCATTTCCTCATTTCAGTTAATCATGTTCCCAAAAGTGTAATAAATAAATGCAAAAAGACCCCATACTCGTATGTACTACATACCACTACACTGAAGAAAAGCATTGTATACACATTTCGAACAATAAAAGCTACAGGCCATTCACTCAGAAGTCTGGAACAACCTAGAAACATTCGTGACAACTCTTACTTCCACAGTTGTGAAAGTCTGGCTTAAGGAGGTAACCATTACAAACGTGTTTTATTCAGTTGCACTAAGTCCAATGCATCTGCCAGAGGCAGTCCAGGATTAGCTTTACGTAAAAGAGTTACTTTAGAAAGAGTTCTGGAAGGTCTAGTGTATCAAACTGTCCTCAGGGATGATGACTGTGAGAACACTCAGGCTGAACAGGAATCTGTCTCTTCACTTAAAAGACACTGCATTTTGCCCCATGAACTCTATGGTTCTGGTAGCGTGCCTTAAAAGGCACATGCTGCTACTTGAGAAATCCAGTGGAACCTAAGGGGTGGGGGCGGGGCAACAACAGAGAACAAGGAAACCAAGGTCTCACAAAGAATTTAAAATGAAGAATTGACCACAAGAATGTTAGCAGTCAGAGCTACTGCAGAACATGTTTTTGCATCATAGATTCACTGGAATAATACCTCTACCCACAAAGCTCTTGCAGTCTCAGGTTCTTCAGTGGTTTGTAATTTTCATCATACTATACAAGTAAACTTCCCCATAAATACAAGTACTGATAGGTACAAACTTAAGAAACTCTTCTTGCATAACATTTGTTGATGAGTCCATTGCCTGAGTTGGGAACCAGCCAAGAACTAGCCTTAAAACAGAAAAAAAAAAATCTTGTATGGTCTTAAGGCTACTGTGTTTTATCTAACACATCACAAAAGGAAAGAGCTGATTAACTCAGCCCAAGCTCTTGCTTGTGCATTAAGTCTGATACGCCTGGCTTGCATTGCAGTCATCAACTGCCCTCATCCTATTTCTTTCACATTCACATTATTTCATAGAAGTGCTTCTAAACGTTAAAAGCAGGGGGACAGCCGGGATTCCAGCACTACCGTTCTTTCTTACTATTGACAAGCTAGTCAGCCACCACACAGCTATGCAGCTGGAAAATGACTGCGCTTTGGGACTTAGTAATGAGAAACTTCCTCAACAAATTAAAGTGCCTTTACAAAAGCATTTCATTGAAACTGAACCAGTGTTGGCTGCATACAGTGTTTTCTCGATATAGAAAAAATAATACACAAGATGTGATGAATTATGAAGAATCCATGAACACAGAAAAGTGCCCAAATTATACAACACATAAATCTAAGCAGATCAAGCCCATACACACGACTCGGACTGCTACATTTGCTACTGCTCTAGAAGCCACCAACCTGTCGTAAGGCAATGGAAATGGGCATTTGGCTAAGTGAGCACACAAGCAGCTCAGCAACTCTTATTTAGTGTGACATAGCTGACCTCAGCTGTTTGTTCTGAGTGGCAGTTAGAAAACTAAAGACTTTCTGGTTAACATATCTCAACAGAACACTATTGTTCCTACAAAGCTTATTATTCCAGAGCTATCCCTAGTGTAATTCATTTGGTCACATTACAAGTGCTGATGCAGACAAAATTTCTGCTCCAAGAGTTTAAAGAAGGGAGCACATTAGCATGCAGCAGAAATTGATTTATTCTCTTACAGTCTCCACACCATCCTCCTGTTAAGAGCTGCCAGTGTGCCCAGCTATACTGCTACACACGCAGATGCACAAGGCTGGAACTGTGTATACACAGGGTCTGGAACAAAAGAAAAAAAAACACCTGCAGCTCTTTCCTTTATTGATTAGGTTTCATTGTGCTGTTTACTGTGGGAGTTAAGCCTTTGTCTTCACTAAGGAGGACCATAACTGTGACTAAAGCCACCAGAACACATCACTGTATGAGAAGCAATTACAATAAAGCACTAAGGAACAGAGACCATGGTGGATTTTTCACTCCCTCTAAATAAAAAGCCACACTAACGACTTTTTAGTATTATCTGCTGAGACAGGTTGTCTCAGGACTAGAATCCAAACGCACACACATCCAGCCTAGATACTATCTTTGTGCTGCGCATCCAACTTTACTCCCATGGGCTTGGGCAACAAGAGCCATTCAGTTCACGAAGACAGCAGCAAATCCATTTTCTCTCTACTGTGAATGCGGAAGCAATGAGTTCATGGTGCAGAATGCTGAACAATTCACTCAACAGAACTGAAGAGCAAATGAAAGAGACCTTTTAGAGCACTTAAGCAGTACTTGCTTTCCACACTTAACCTTGTTGCTGCACCACATACCTACCTTTCTATTTAAGTAATTCCTCAGCCCTATTCTTCAAAAGCAGTCCATTCCCCAAGGACTTTAACAAGAAAAGGCTTTTTTAAAAATGCGTATTTTGAAGGGGAAATAAAGCATAAGAATTACCGGAATTGCTAGTTTTGAAATTTTACTGGAGCGTTGAACTACCCTTTTCAACACGAACTAAACAACCCTGTAATGCTCTGAAGGCAGGAAGCACCCAAAGCATTTTACAGCCAAAGAAACAGGGGCAGACTAGCCATGGAAGGTCTTATAACAAGCTGGCAACAAACACTGTCCAGTTATTATGACTCGAGGATGGCTACTGGAGTGCAGCTACTCACAAGTGACCAAAGCACTCCAAGCTTTCCAGTGCAGATTTTCTCTCCATATATAGTGATATACAATATGCTAACTCACCATCCAATAGCCAGTTGTACCGATCTAGACCTTTTAGCTCATTCAGCACTAGTCGTGTCATGATGTCATCTGGAATAAGCCGCCCTTGATCAATGTAGGACTTGGCAAGGATTCCAACTTCTGTGAAAGCAAGAGAAGTTACATTACACTATCTCTGACCTCCAGCAAGCGAAAAAAAAGCCCACAAGCCTGCCAAAAATTTGTTTTGATCAGGATGGCACAGAACAGTAAAGTTGTAGATGAGACAGACAGTATGCTTGCTGAAATTCAAAACCAGATGATCAGTTGGGATCTGATCATGCAAATAGGTATCAGCCTAATTTGATTGGTCTGTAGTTCCACATACGGTAACAGGGCACGCAGCACACCTCTATTCCCACACCCTCCAAACAATTTTACTAGTAAGTATTTGAAACATTTTGTTCCAAAAACTAAAATCAGGGAAGGACACTAGGTAAAATTATTCAAAAGAATAAATGTAAAGGATACAAGTTCATTAAGACATCAGCCCTCAGATTTCCTGTCAAGAAAGCTATTTTCTCAGTGTAGTGGCTAGTGATTAACTTACGACTTCACTACAGAGAAATGCCTTTGGTATTTAAGAGAGCAGTATGCAGCGCGACATGCTTGCCAGACATCTATTTTATGATTACTAGAGTTAGAAGAGGATGTTTATAGATCTTGTAAACTGTTTACAGGAGCACACAGACACTAGTATTTTCCCACGGAACTGACTAACCTTTAGTACCAGTCATTTAGCCCACTGGCTCACAAAATGCCACCCATGCATCACAGTCCCGGATACCACACCATGCCTCTACATGACAGGCTGCAAGCATGCTGTCGTTCACCCGAATCACGGGTATAGCCAGGAAGAAATTAATTTGCCTGGGCTGTGTCCTAGACAGTCTCCGTGGCCTTTGTTTATAAAACAATTATCCAATTATGTAAGTCACCCAGAATAGCAGCTAGGCTGGTTTTATTGTGGATCTGCAGAAGCCTTTACTTGCAGCCAATTCAGATCTAGTTACAGTAAACTAAACAGAAGAGAAAATGGGATGGACTGACATACCAACAGAAGATATAACCACTTTCAGCAGAAAGCAACTAAGAATGCCAGTCCCACCACTTGATGCAATAGTACAGCGGCCATTCTTCAGACAAGGCAACCGAAAAGCAATAGATGCTCTCAGGTTATGCAAACAGTAGCTTTGGTGCTGGGAAAAAAAAAAAGTAATAAAGTGATGATTTCCTTTATTTGGTGTTCACATCTATAATCAGGCTTTTAAAAGGCTGAAGACCATTTAGGAATAGGCACGATGCACCTTGGTCAGACATCAAATAATCCTCACAATGTTGAAAAGAGTCAGGCTCCAGTGCTTGAGTCCTCCAGCACATCACAAACTGGAAGGAAGGTGATAGTCTGCCTGGGTACAAAGTGTCTATTCTTCTCCCTACCTCCCTTCTTCAAGGTCAGCAAGTAGCACCTCTTTTATTTTTCCAGTGCACTTTGAACCATGTACCTTGCAAAAGCAGGCTGGGAGGAATAAAGTACATCTAGATAGTTTAATGTGTACTTAATGCTTGGATCTGTTACTGATTTACACTGCAGCACTTCTCTAGCCACAATGATCTAAGAATATGCGCAAGGCAAGGCTGATAGAGAACGGTACTAACAAACTTTGGAAAGACAGATGAGCTTTTGGGCCCAGAGAGGTATGGCAAGCTGTCAGGTCCTGTTATTAGACCAACAGAGCTGGAAGTGTGCTGCCTCTACAGACCAGGTCGTTTAGAAAGTCACTATTACAGAAGATAAAAATAGGCACAACTGTACCCAAACAGTTACATGTTAGGACAAAAAGTTTGTACACTAGACTACAGCTGCTTCCCCCCCGCCCGCCCACCCTGTCCATTGTTGGGGGTGAGGTTTTGTTGGGTTTATTTTGTTTTGTTTTTTTTCAACTTGTGTCTGAAAGCACTACAGGCATGGCAAACTTTGGAATTAAAGGCAACAGGTTTCTTTCCGGTCTAGGTGAAACAGGTATCCACATTCCGTGGTTTTGCAAAAGATCAGCATGTCCTACAGCAAACAAGCTCTAGACATATTCAGACACCAGGTTGGTCAGCACTAGAGAAGTGGTCACAGACTCTCCACTCTCCAAAGCAGCAGAATATAGTATTAACTGCAAATTGCTACAGATACTCACATGTTCAACAAGAATTTTCAGCAGACAAAGTCCATTTTCACAAGACAGTAAATGCCAAAAATGGCACAGTAGAACTACTGTTAATTATGTTTCACTTTCCAAGTGTTTTAACTGCCCAACTGAGCCTAACACAGTTCCCAAAGAACTGGGAATTGCTGGACTCTTCTATTATAATCAAAACTCTGCCTCGACTAAACTTGTCGAACATCTCTGACTGCCTCTCCTCTCCCTCCTTCAGCATACTACTTACCCTGCTACCTCAGTATTCATCTCAATTCTTTGGAGATCATTTCTGCAACGAGTGACTCCCTTTCAATAAAATTAAAACAGAGCTTCATCTGAGTTCATCAGTGGATTAAAAACTCTGTAGCAGATTCCTGTAAGTTCTACACCAGCTAATTAGGAGCAAACATCATCTCTGACACCCTCCACCAGCTTCTCTCCTCACATTCAGGGTTTTAATGTGCCTGCTACATTTTCATGTCATGTCTTGTTTCTCATTCACGTTCTTTAATCTGTCCAACCCACTTAGAACACTTCGCTGAATCACTTTCCACTACTCCGTATGTCCGTCCTCAAATCAAGCAATGGGGTATTTCAACTTGCAACTTCCTCTTCTCAGACACCATTCAGCTTGATTCTGGTGCTCTTTGATCTTGCTTCCAAGACATATTGAAAGAGCACAAAACCTAAAGCACTTAGGAAATAACCTATTTCCTTAATCTTCTGGTACGCCTTCCCTTTTCACTAGGTCTTACTTATGCTGAAAGTTCCTAACAGCAACAATTTTGGTTTTGTGACCCTTTGTAAATAAAAACTTATGCTTGCGCAATGGAACGCAACAGAAGAAGCATGAATGTGATCAGATATGCCTGCACAGGTGGTACTTCTAGCAAATGTTTAACCTGTAGATACTAACCGTGGTAAAGTCAGTCAACCAGGCCAAAGTCATTGTTCTTACAGAGCAAACAGAATTTGTGTGAAAAGAGATGTGGGAATCACATCACAGTTATTTCATAGTACAGCTAATTTTTCACCCTCAAACACACTTATTCCATAACGAAGACTGCCAGCTACCTAACCATAATACTGCTAAGGAACTTACAAGTGAATGAAGTCCTCTGCAGCTTCTAAGTGCTGGAAATAACAATACTCTCACCACATGCAACCTGAAATGGTTATTACAACATTTTCAACCCCACCATGAAAAAGCAGGTGCAGAAGTCAGGAGGGGACCTTTCATCAGTGGAAAAATCCCCTGGAGAGAGGGTTTGTGACATCTCAACAGAGAGACACAGGTCAAGCTAGGACTACACTGTAAGTATAACTCACGTCCTTACCTAATACAAGCAACTCTGTCTGCAAACACAGACCATGCTGAAACCTAAGCACGGTACAAACTTGCGTAATAATTTAAAAAGCACAGGGTAAGCAGTTGGAAAATTTGCCCATTGTTTTTGGAAGGCACCACTACAGTGATGCCTGCCAGTTTGGGACAAGGCCTTCTAATTTTGTAATAGCTGGTAATTCTAGGTGCCTCTACTTCTAGCCATTTAAGGGAGATCTGAAAAAGTCTGATTGCCTGCAACTCCTCCTCTTGCCCCGTCTGTTAAAAACACGAATATTTGTCCCTTTCAAGACACTTCAGCTAGAAGAACTATCAGAAAACACCTTACAAAAAAAGCTGGGTGCTTACAAAAAGCACCAAGATGAGGAAACGAGGTGTTACAATGGAGTAACAGGCCCCCCGTTCACGCTTACCAAAAGGACGCCAAGTGACAGCTTGTAGAGCCTCCTCAGCTGAAGCCTCTAGGCCCACTCCGGTGGCCTCTGGCCTCCAGGAAGAGCTGCGTGAAGACGCCCAACCTCGGAACCGAGGGATGGGGGG